TTGATATGAATTCGAAGAGAGATAAAAGTTTCTAGTTTGTCACGGGCATCGCGTCTTGTTTCGGTACAGTTCTGGGTTTACAAAAGAAAGTTGAAAATGATCTCGACCTTTATCTCCATCCTGGACAAAGCTTCTTGTCTTGTCTCGTCTCGTCTCGAATAAATCAGAACCAAATAATAATTACCTAATAACCTGTAAGAACCTTAATTATATTGGGATCATGTAAGTAATGAAAATTTCAAGTTACCCGTTAAATTTTGTTCCAATTCTGACAGAATTCGAAAGTTCTAGGTGCGACGTGTTTGATTTGTGAGAGTAATGTTCACATTATAACTTCAAACTTGAAAACGACAGATAAATTACTGTTCGTTGTTACTGAGAGTCGTTCTGACTATCTAGATATAGAATAAACAAAAAAACAAAACAAAACATTATCAATGACTTTCGGCCGCCCACGAATTACGGATTTTTATCGCTAATATGGAAAAGCTTCCTGACTCGTCTCGTTCCGAATAGAGAAAACCCTGCGGCTCCCAACAGGTGTAAGAAACTCGAAAACGTCCGCGAACGGCAGTGCGGCAGGTGTGATCACAGCAGTTATAAACGTTTATTTTCAAATCAGTTTAGCTGTACGTTGAGTCAACTCATGATAAGTAATTATTACAACTCAACTTCCTCACCCTTGTTTACACCTTCAACTTTTCATCGCTCATCGAGCGACCTGGACAAACATCAGCAAAACAAAACATTATCAATGACGTTCGACCGCCTACGAACTACGGATTTTTATCGCTAATATGGAAAAGCTTCCTGATTCGTCTCGTTCCGAATAGAGAAAAACGTGCGGCTCCCAACAGGTGTAAGAGACTCGAAAACGTCCCCGAACGACGGTGCAGCAGGTGTGATCACAGCAGCTATAGACGATTATTTTCAAATCAGTTTAGCTGTACGTTGAGTCAACTCATGATAAGTAATTATTACAACTCAACTTCCTCACCCTTGTTTACACCTTCAACTTTTCATCGCTCATCGAGCGACCTGGACAAACATCAGCGGGGATTGTTCAAGGCATGCATTTGGGTCGAGGACAATAGGGTTGAATAATTCTTAGCAATTAACCCGTGAAATGTTAAAAAATTGTATAATGAAGTTAAACCATGGATGGGAATATCAGCACACCTCTAGATTATAAATGTAAATCTAATGAAAAATCGAAAATTAGAAACCGAAACTGCGGTTGCGGACACATGTTCGATTTTTTGTTGTAATAGTATAGCCATAGTTTAATTTTTTGAATTATTATTTGAAATTAAAGCTCACTGGAGCCACATTTTACATAAATGCAAATATTATTGCATACATAATTTATAGTGCAGGCGCTCAATTTAAATATAGACACATATATAAAATGGTATAATGACCCGGGCGATTATTCTATTGTATAATATATCTGACACGCATATATACAATTACAATTTCTTCATAGAGCATAAAATGCAGCCATAAGGTCTCAAAGCACAAATAAATCTATTAGATTTTAATATTGAAACATATTCACACAGGTAGATGGTGCAAAAGACTTTTTCGCATACTCTTTAAACAGCAATGTGACCGATAAATATTGTAATAAGTCAGTCGGCGGTATTCCATAATATTTAGCAGCGTTAATTCTCTTTAAATAATAATATTTACCTCGTTACATATTAGTTATTTCTAAGCATTTGACTTGGCTTCTACAATATAATCGAGCAGAGTTTGTACTATAATCAGTCTTAAGATAGTCTCAGTATCCAGGGTAATGACAGCAAAATAATTTCAGTTTTCTACCAATTTTGCAAATCACATATATTTAGCATATGTTCTTTATGATATGTGTTCATTGTTATAAATGGCTACATTAAAATATTCAACCTTAGTAAAAATTGATTAGTAGCGCAAATTTTGGAATTATTAATACTGAATTTTGTTAATGTATAGCTGAGATATTTATCAGTTAAAAAATCCATGACATTTCTGTGGGAAAGTCTGCATTAAGCAGAGCGAAAAACAAAAGCGCAGAACATCCATCACCAGCTAATCAGCGTGCGTGCAGAGCTCGCAGCAGATGTACAGCAGTGCAGAGCGTGCAGCAGCAGTGCAGAGCGTGCAGCAGCAGTGCAGAGCGTGCAGCAGTGCAGAGCGTGCAGCAGCAGTGCAGAGCGTGCAGCAGCAGTGCAGAGCGTAAGACAATTCGATGACCCGCGGTCGCAAAAGTGAGCGAAGTCTCACAACCTCACAAGCGCTGCTGCCTAAATTCCTTCAGAGGACTTAGCCTTCAGCGGCTTCATGGGCTAATGAAGGCAGGCTTAGGCGGCCACATCCTACGGACCATGGAGCATCCTGCTCCAATGATGGAGACAAGGCAGTGGCAGCCCTGCTCCAATGCTGGAGACAAGGCAGTGGCAGCCCTGCTCCAACGATGGAGACAAGGCAGTGGCAGCCCTGCTGTGATGATGGAAACAAGGCAGTGGCAGCCCTGCTGTGATGATGGAGAAATTTGCAGAATTTGAAGATGTAGGCAGAATTGCGCACACAAAAGAGAGAGCGAATCAAATTTATGTATTAAATTTTAAAATTAGCTATGTAAGTTATGATTATGTTTATCATCTATATGATTATTAGAAGTGAGACAGGCCGTATAAAAGAACTGAACATGTCAGTTCAGAGAAAGATTCTTTACGAATCATTAAGTAAACTTCATATATTTTTATAGTAAATAGGAATTTCTTATTGTAATCTTTCAAGCACTCCCTGGGACCATGCAAGCTCAGTCAAAAGATACTCCAGTGTTAAAAATTTGATAGAAAGAAATCTTTTTTTCAATTTCATTTTTTACATTGCTTCAGAATTTTTAGTCGTGCTGCAAAAAGTTTCAGCTGGGGTCAGCGTCAGGATTATGGAAATGGATACGAAGGTCGATGGAAGACAAATCAATGACCAATAAATTCTTCGATTTCCTTTTATATATTTTTTTATTTTGTTTCGGCCATTCACTGCAGTTTCGTTTTTTACGCATTAATTCACAGCGGTTTACTTAACGGAAACTTCACATATTGAATTGATTTTTGCGTTTTATTTGCTGAGTTTAAATTACTTGAACGAACGAGGATAATAACTTGCGAACATTTCATATTGTTCAATTAACACGTTCTCCGCTTGTGCGAAATTCATCACTATTCCCTCATTGTGGAAGGCTTTCGGTGATTGCTGCTTTAGTTTTTTACGAACAAAACTCCGGTTTATTAATTGATTTCTGTATAGAATTTGGATTTATACATTTATTTTATTTATTAATCGACCTTTCATGTGAACAAAAATAATCTACAAGAAGAAGTTTACCAACGAAATTTCGAGTTATATGTGTTTTATCATTTAACATTTAACATTTAACATAGTGATGACTGAGTTATATTTTTTTACACTACTTCTGGATTTTCAGTCGTGCTGCAAAAAAAGTTTCAGCTGGGGTCAGCGTCAGGATTATGGAAATGGATACGAAGGACGATCGAAGACAAATCAATGACCGATAAATTCTTCTATTTCTGTGTTTGTTCTTTCTTTTTGTTTCAGCCATGCCATACCCTGCAATTTTTGTTCTTTGCGCAATAATTCACAGCGGTTTACTTAATGGAAACTTTACATATTGAATTGATTTTTTTGTGCCTGTATGTGCTGAGTTGAGTAAGTCTGGTATATTGATTTGTTTTATTTAAAAATCAACCTTTCATGTGAACAAAAATAATCTAAAAGAAAAAATTTACCAACGAAATTTCGAGTTATATCTGTTTTACCGTAAATAAAATACTATGTTTGGTACACATATGGCCCAATACGCGGTGAATGTGTTTAAGAAAATTAATTGTTAATATTGTATAAATAATGACTCACTCTCAAGCGTAGCGCTGATACGCCCGTTTGCTGCGACAAACTAGGTCATGGTGACTCACTTCAGGGTGCAGTGTTATTAGAACAATGTCTCACTAATTTCTTTACGTGTATGCTAAGTTGATTTCTATTCCCACATAAAAGCACATTCAAGTACATACACTATATCTATACACTCAGTAAAATAGATGGACTAATTGTCAAAATAGTGACAAACTTGATACGTCTTTTCCCCAGGCCGTATTCAGAGAAAAGGAATGACCTGGAAAAAGTGCTACTTGGACAAATATGGACAAAGTGCAGAATTTTTCTAATTATTTTGAGTGTAGAAATAACGGGGAAAGAAATGAAAGACTTAATATCATGAAAATACTTTATTAAAATATCATTAAAGAACTTTTTTCCTAATGGAAGCTAGTCTAAAAAATAAATCACACGTCATAAATCAATAAATAAATTAATTACGTTTTTAAAATAATTAATACCATTTCATTATAAAAACATATTATGTTTTTATAATGAAAAATGTTCATATTATGTTTTTGGAACGCGAATTATCTTCAAAATAAATTATTGACATCCGTACAACATCACAGCTCTGTCTTTACTTTAGAAATTGAAATAACCAATTCCCCGACATATAATTATACTCATTGCTCATATATGTATAGTATTTATATCTGTCTCTTATACACATCTAGATGTGTATAAGAGACAGGTGCAGAGCGTGCAGCAGCAGTGCAGAGCGTGCAGCA